TCTCTCTCTCACACTCATTACAATGAATGGAACAAAGCTCTCTCTCTCTCCTAGTCTCTCTCTCTCTCTCTCTCTCTCTCTCTCTCTCTCTCTCTTGTTAGCTCTTAGTCTCATTGATTTGGCTACCTTAGGGCTGCGTTCCCCGCGCCCACGCCGTAGACAATAGCAGCTATTGGGCCTAGCTGCCTACTCTCCACATGCACAAAAGACAAAAAACATGGCGCTGTATCTTTCCATATTCTACAGTAAGATTCACTCTCGTCTTGCACATTTCGAGAGTAGTGCAGCCAGGCCCATTGTGGCGCCGTCTTCCTCCAGCCCAACAGTCAAATTGACAGTGCATTATGCTTGGGACTCCGCAGAGGAGGCTGCCAGGCGATCGGATCTGCCAGAGCTGCCCGGGTTTTGGGGCCGTCAGAGGTCTCCGGGAGGAGCGGGCCGACGCTTCAAACATGGGACACCTCAAGTGGGGGGGGGGCCTCGCTCCACCACTCTCCACATGCACAAAAGACAAAAATAATGAAATAATGACAGTGTATCTTTCGCCCTTTTCCAGCGGAAGCTTCATTCTCATTTTGCACGTTTGGTGAGTACTGGAATGAGGCCCCGGGGCTAGGTCCCACTAGCACGAATTAAGAGATACTGACCTTAGATAGCAGAGATCAACGGCAGAGATCTCCTAATTTGCGCAAGTGGGACCTTGCCCCCGGTACTGCTGCTGTTCGCCCTCGTGCCCTTCGGCGAATCCGTAGTGCAATGCAGCACTGCACTGCGCATTGGAGGCGTTCTCCACGGTTTTCTGCAACCTGTAAAGCCACGCGTAATCCTGCCCGCAAAGGTCGCACTGGTCAGACGAAAAAGGACACACTAAAAAGGACACACTAAAAAGGAAGGACACTAAAAAGGAAGGACACACTAAAAAGGAAGGACACTCACAAGGGGGCTATGGAAATCGCCGAACGACCAAGGGAGCTGAGAACCTGGCACTCAGGACGTAGAGGGAAGAGAAGCGCGGGAGGGACGGTGATCGGGATAGACGGAGGGAGAGGAAGGGCAATCGGATCGGCGATATGCAGGGTTGGTGAGCAATGGGGTCGAGTGCGGGAGAGTCTCTAACGAAGGAAGACATGGGTGGGAGGAAGATGCGTGTGAGGAGTATGGTGCAATCGCCCTCATCTAATCCTGGCGTTGATGTCGGCCAGAGGATTAATGTTAAGTACAGGGCAGGAGCTGCTGCAGGTGCCGTGGCGCGCAATCAACGAGCGATGATGTGAGGCCAACTTACGACGAGAGAGAGAGAGAGAGAGAGAGAGAGAGAGAGAGAGAGAGAGTTAATGTTAAGTACAGGGCTGCAGGAGCTGCTGCAGGTGCCCTGGCGCGCAATCAACGAGCGATGATGTGAGGCCAATTTGCGACGAGCCACACACACACACACACAGAGCGAGGGCTGTCTCTTATACACATCTAGATGTGTATAAGAGACAGGAGAGAGAGAGAGGATTAATGTTAAGTACAGGGCTGCAGGAGCTGCTGCAGGTGCCCTGGCGCGCAATCAACGAGCGATGATGTGAGGCCAATTTGCGACGAGCCACACACACACACACACAGAGAGAGAGAGAGAGAGAGAGAGAGAGAGAGAGAGAGAGAGAGAGAGAGAGTGTGAGGGAGAGGGGGGCGGGGGCGGGGGCAGGGGCCCTGGCGCGCAATCAACGAGCGATGATGTGAGGCCAATTTGCGACGAGCCACACACACACACACACAGAGAGAGAGAGAGAGAGAGAGAGAGAGAGAGAGAGAGAGAGAGAGAGAGAGAGAGAGGGGGGGGGGGGGTGGGGTGGAACGAGGATCGCATGCTCCTGCTACGGGTGGCCCACAGCGTGAACATTCAGTTCTGAAGATCAGAAACCGCTTCACTGGTAATGCAGCAATTCCTCGGTCAGTTGATACTGTTGCTAATGGTTCTCTCTGTCTCTCTCTCTCTCTCTCGTCCTCTGCAATGCCATGGGAAGAACTTGATCTTTAACATGGTTAATTAACTACTAATACACCACATTGCAGAGCGCGCCGTAGACGGTAGCTGTAGAGCAGGCCGGCGAGAGCTAGTCTGCAAGAACGTCATCTTCCTGTTGGCGCACGCGCGCACGTCTGCGGCATTGCGCGTGACGCACAAGCTCACTCACACGTCGTCGCCGATACAAGCACAGAGCCACACAGATAGATAATAAAATAGAGAGTTATATACGGTGGATTGAGAGGGATTGAGGCTACTTTTTTTTTTTTTTTTTTTTTTTGTGTGTGGGGGGGTGAGAGAGAGAGAGAGAGAGAGAGAGAGAGAGAGAGAGAGAGAGAGAGAGAGAGAGAGAGAGAGAGAGAGAGAGAGAGAGAGAGAGAGGATGGACGTGGGGCAGAGGCGTATGCACTGTGAATCGATAGGCGAGGAGTTACCCTCTCATGGGGGAGATAAGGACTGGTGAGGAAAAGGAAGGGAGAGGGGAGAAGGGAGGGGGTTCGGGAAAGGGGGAGGGGGCGAGGGGAGGTCAGCATATAAACTGAGGCGTACATATTTCGCGCTAAGGGGGGGGGGAGGCAGGAGGGGGGCCGGAAAAAGGGGGGAGTTGGAGGGTAGAGGAGAGGTGGGCGCAACAGCTGTCCTTCTGGCATTGGCTGTTTTTGGCGATCCAAGAGTGGTCCCGTCCTTCGTTCTTCTGATCGCTGCTTGGCTTGTAACTTTGTGTTATTTATCTCAGTAACTCTTGGAGCTCCAAAGCGGTGTGCTATATATTCATCTCAGTAACTCTCAGTAACTCTTGGAGCTCCAAAGCGGTGTGCTATATATTCATCTCAGTAACTCTCAGTAACTCTTGGAGCTCCAAAGCGGTGTGCGATTTATCTCAGTAACTCTCTTGGAGCTGCAAAGCGGCGTAGTCACTACAGCGCAGCTTTATCACGCATCGAATCTCGCCGAAGACGTTTAGCAATCTCTTGTTGAAGAGTGAAGGGGCCTGTCTGTATAGGGAGCGCGGTGACACACACATACACACACACACACACACACACACACACACAGACACACACACACACACACACATGTTACACACACATACACACACACACACACACAGAGCGCTGTCCAGATGGACGCACCGTCTCCTGCCAAGCGCGCTATCCTGTCTAGATTCAAATGAACTAACAGATCTACAGAGATTGAAAAACAGCGGAAAAAAAAACAGCGAAAGGCGGAAAGGAATGCGTAAAAAAGAAAAGAAAAGAAAAAGAGCGAATTTAACTAAGAACACGCAGCATCCTCTGCCTGCGTGGTCTGGGCCTCAATTTTTATTTTTATTTTTTTGAGGGCGACAGTCTTGAGATGTCATCACCGATTTTTTTTAATTTTTTAATTTTTTAATTTTTTATTTTAAGGGCGACAGTTTTGGCAATTCAGAGTTATTTCGTTGCAGGAGAGTGTTTTTAGTAAATTCGCTTTTTTTATTTTTTTATTTTTTTTTCACGTGTCTGGACCTCACGCTATCAATTGCGTTTCAAAAAATAAGAATAAAATAAAAATTTAAGGGCGACACTTTTTAGATGTCATCATCGAGTTTTTTTTTTTTTTTTTTTTTTTGAAGGGCGATAGTTGGTAATTCAGAGTTATTTCGTTGCATTCATCTAGGTCCATCAGGATTCGAACTTGGGTCTGTACCAACAACTGGAAGTTGGTCAATTCTAATGGACCTAGATGAAATCTGATGAATGGAACGAATTTTACAGACCCAAGCTCGAATCCTGATGGGCAGTTCATGG